AGGCAAGAGATGGTTTTCATCATTTTATTATGCACTCCAATAATTCAATTCCATCTGAAGGTTGGCCTTAATTATGTTAAACCTATTAGACATGTAGGGATGGCAATGGGGCAGGTTCAAGGAGGTTTTTGTAAATTTTAGATTTTACCCGTCTTCCTAAGCCTCCTAACCCATATCCTCCCCAAAATCCTTAGCAGGCTGGATTTTGAGAATCCAAACCTTCCCCGACCCTACCCTCTCACATTCAACAGTAGGGGTGGGTAGGGTTTAGAACCCATGTCTAATTTCATATTATTTCTTATTATATATAAACAATAAATAAGTAAAACAATACAAACAATAAAATTGTCAATTATTTGATCAGGACATGTAAAAAACACAGAAACTACCAATTATCCTTCACATACAATTCAATATATTATTAAGTTCAACACCTAACACATAAAATTTATATGCTTTCCAACAATATGTAGGTTGGGGAGGGTTGGGTTTAGCCTAATACCATACCTTATATGTACCTATACGGGTTATAGAATCCCAAAACCTATCTCCACCCCAAAACCCATCCTTCAAGCAAAATACCCTGCCCCATTGGGATGGGTAGGGGCAGGTATCCACTGAGTAGGATAGAAATTGCCATCCCTATAAACATAAAACTGCTTTTTTATTTTTGGTAAAGAAAGGCAGATTCATTCAAACTAAAACTATCCAATAACCGTTCAGGTCATCCTTTGGATGGTCCTAGGATATTATGCTTTCTAAGTATTTGAGATGAAGCCACCCATGGTTTGGTTAAATAAGGAAATTGATAATAGAGCTGATTCGGTTGCATGGCATGAACTAAAGTTTGTAAAATGGTTCACAATTTAATTAGGCACAACAAATTTGGTCTGGAGACAAGGAGATGTTATACTTATGTGCAATAGATTGGAAAGCCATGGCATCCATGTGCAAGCGAATCTAAAAGTACTACCTTCACAGGATAACATTAACATGGATAGTGGCCCCGTTTTTCATCAGCTGATGCTCCTACGCTCCTTCAAGGAAGGAACCAAGGTGAACTCAAGGACAATACAATTTAAATGAGAGAGAGAGATGAATGTCTTGAGAAGAATCAATTGCAAATTAACAATGAGCAATATTTCATCTTGTAGTATATACCACAGAAAGTTAGATAGCATATATCTTGAAATTAAACCATTAAGTTTTTGACTTCTTGTCTACTTTTCATACTCTTAACTTGATCTTCTCACAGGCCACTAAATCAAGAGTAGGAGTACTGATTCATTTGGCGTATTGATCTCTATGGTTTCAAGACAACAAAATCCATCTAAATTTAAAAGTATGAATCCGACTTAACTTCAATTGGAATAGGGGCTATTCTTGGCCAACTGACTAATTAATTTCATGTTTGTATATATATTTATGTATATATATTTTATGTATGTGATACATACGGGTGGCCACGAGTTGAGCTTTTTATAAGCTATTCGAGCTCAGCTCGTGAGGTTTGCGAGCCAAGTTCGAATAATTATATATATAATTATAGAAAATAATATATATAATAAAAATATTATATTTCTTAATTTTTTAAATATCAAATAAAAAAATTTATATATAATTTTTATTTTTATAAAACCATTTTTCTCAAATCAAGTTCAAGCTTATAGTTCAAACCGAGCTCGAGCCTTGTATAACCTTGGTGAGCCGAGCTCGAGCCTCGTACTATTCGGCTCGGCTTGGCTCAAATCCACCCCTTGTGATACGTTTCTGACTTTTTGTATACGTGTGTAACAACCATTTTAAGTTTAAAGCAAAAAGAGAAAAAAAAAGAAAAAAATAGTTATGTCCTTTGTACATAAAATATATAATAATGCTAAAAAAAGGAATTCACCTCAACTATTTACTTAGCAAATAAGAATATTTGACAAAAGAAAGTAGAGAAATTGGGGTAAGACTTTGGGGGTTTCATAGCTTGGGTTGGGTTGGGTTGGCCTCAACCCAACTTAACCCAGCCTGACTTGCACCCCTAAATCCAACATTTAAAGTTGAAACCCTTTACACCTCTGCCTAGTGCCCACTTAACTACTTCGCTCAAAATGTGTATAGAGAGAGAGAAGAGTCCAGCTTTGGTCAGGGCAAAATCCGTTCCAACAGCTTTTACAACCTTACATTGGGAATATCTTTCTACTTATGTGATTTATTTCATGGAAGATATTTCCAATGCAAGGTTGCAAGGGGTTGTTTGAACTAACAGAAGTCAAACTTGAGAGAGAATGTGTTGAGACCAATAACCTATCCTAACTCAATTGTTGAAAGTTTGTCTGAATAGGCACCGAAAACCTGAGTCTGGTTGACCTGACATGGCAGGTCCCACTTTTATGGTGGGTCCCAGTCTCATGATAAGATGTACATGTTAGATAAAATTGATAGAGGGTTAAAACATGTCTTATAGGCAGAAGATCTCAACTCCCCAAAACCTATACTGTTTCCCTAACCCAATCCATCAAAGAAGTTGCAGACCTTTTGGGCGTTTTCGATAAACCCATTGTAAATTTGTTTGGCTTCGTAGCTGAAGATTAACTATGTGTTGTGTTAGGGAGTGTGGGTAGCCCTCCCTGAAGATCTCATTTGGCTCTACATCTGCAGATGGAGAAAGTTATGATGGAAGAAGCTTCTGGTGATGGCTTAAAAGAGAAGAAGGAAAAAAAATGCTGCCACTAGAATAAATAAGTTCCATATTCAAATTTCAGACGAAAACAGGGAGCTACAGAAGAGAAGACCTTTGCTTCTATTTGGAAATATTATCTATCATGGTTTGGAAAGAATGTAGTTACTAGTTACCCATGTGTTTGGGCAGACCACACATGTCATAGGTGCCCAATGCTTCTATGAGCTGAAAAGTTTCCAAGGGCTTAGACTCTCTTTTGAACCTGCTGTTGGAGTTTAGAGTGGAATTTTTCTAAATTGTTTCTGCTTCTGGTTAGTGGTTAATGAAAATCTGTTTAACTATCAAAAGGAAAAAAGGAAAAGGAATAAAGATGGCAAATAATGGTTATAGGCAAGAAAGATTTAATTACCTCTATTAGTCATGAGACTGCTCTTCTACTTGGTTTGGTTCAATAAGGAAATTGATAATAGACCTCATTCAGTTGCATGGCCTTCCATAAGCTAATGTACCCCAAATGGTTCACAATTTAAGGCACAACAGTTTTGATCCGGAGACAAGGAAATGTGTTATACTTCAGGTCATTGATAATAAAGCCATGCCCCATGGCGTCCATGTGCAAGCGAATCTTAGGCAGTGTTTGGTTTGAAAGAAAATAAGGGAAGGGGAATTTTTTCCATTCCTCTTCCCTTCCCTTCTTTTCTTCCAATCCTCTTTCTTTCCCTTCCCTTTTTTTTTTTTCTTTCCAACCAAACACAGCCTTTAAACTTTACATGATAGCATGGATAGTGGTTGTGATTTTCATGGGTTAACGACCTCATGCCACTTCATGGGGCTGTGGGCTGTTCTTATTGGAAGTGTAAAACCTGATGCAGAATACCAATTCCAAGAGATCCGGACTCCAAAATTGACTTCTCCTTCCACGGGATCTCAAAAATAAAATAAAATTATTAATACTTTAATACTAATTACCTTTCTATTATCAAATCATCTTCATCTCTAGGTGAGCTGCGATTATTGTACATGTGTGATAATTCAATTATGAAGAAGAAATTAAGAATGACAGGTTTTTCCATCCCCGGCTGCGTACCCGGCCTCCCCAACCCAATCGGATCGGGGAAGGAAAACCCGTCTCCGTCGGAAATCTGGAATGAAGGTTAAATTCTTTCTCTTCCCGTCGGAGGTCAGGGTCCTGGACGGCCGGAGGGAAATTAACTTAAAACATAAATGTTGGAGAGTATCAAGTATGGTCCCCCGCCCCGTTGCCATTCCTTTATTTATGGGCGCTACACCTTCCAACCAGGTAACCACCGTCACTCAGTACACAGTTACAATAATTTTTATTTTTAAATTCAGATAAATCACCTTGCGTAGCGTAACCCCCAAGTCTCTCTCACTGTTCGCTCGAATTAGCTTGTGGCCGTTAATCTGTTCGTTGGACTGCTCTAACAACCACTCTTGTGTTTATTATTATCATTATTATTTCATCAAAAAAAGTATTAATTATTATTATTTGAATCTTGAGGATGAAGAGCCGACTAGAACTGGATGCTACAAAAACACTGAATGACTGAATTATATATTTAGAGCGGAAAAGTGGGCCACCATCGAAACCCATGGCGGTTCGATGGACGGCTGAGATCGACCTGACACTAACACCCCCCTTATCTCCAGTGCACAAAGCATAAGGCGCAAGTTAACGCGATCCACTCGGGCCCTCATGTCTGCTACTTGCTAGCGCTTGCTTTCTCAATCAATTCAATAATCGTGTGTGTGTGCTATTCGAAACGATAAGATTAAGAGTTTGAGAGAGGATAAGCACAAATTGTCAGCATTGAAAAGCTGAAGATGAACCATAAAGAGTGGAAATACCCGATCACACATCATCGTGCTCCTCCGGTGCGCATCTTTTTATCCTTCGCACCCCTCTCCCAAAGAGGCCCGGTCCTCCGATTCAAATTTTAAAGTTTAAACAGAAAACCTCTGGTAATCCGTTATTCACCAACCAAACAAACACCCCATTCAAACGTAGATTAGAAAGAAAATAATAATATAATCATCATCTGGAATCTCGATCGATCCCTTCTTCAAAATTAACACGGAGGCACGTTGAAAGGGGAAGGATGAATTGACGAGAATGCCCTCCCACGGTCTAGAACGTCTTTTCGGGGGTCTGCAGTTGGGATGATCAAAACCGCGTAGGTTGGTTCCGACTTTTGTTGTGCCATTAACTATTTATTTTGACTAAATAACAAGTGGGTGCATGCTTCGTAGCCATAATTGTGTCTCCAGACTCTAGTCTTCTTTTTCCTTCTCTTTCGCCAGTAGTCAAGGTCTTTTCGGCTCTTTCACAGAGTCGCCCCCCATGAGCCAGGGCTTTCGTTGCCCAGGTCCAAGAGGACGTATTTGTCATTTTACATAATTAGAAGGATAGCTTTGGAACGTTTCTTTTTGTTGTTTATTTAAAGTCCTGGAGAAGAGAGAGAGAGAGAGAGAACGGCTGAGACCAATTGAAAATGGAGAATGAAGAAGTTGTACTGTTTGCGGAGGAAAGCATCTCCTCCTCCCCTTCTGCAATTTTACAGTGTAGAATCTGCCATGAAGAAGAACTTGAGAGCTCCAAGAACTTGGAAGCTCCCTGTGCTTGTTCCGGATCGGTTAAGGTGATGAACAAAACTCAGAACATTCACGAGTTGCTGTTCTTCGAAGCTCCTGTTTTGGAATTTAAGCTCATAACCTGGTTACACGTTTTTGTTCTTTCAGTTCGCTCACAGAGAGTGCATACAGAGGTGGTGCAACGAGAAGGGTAACACCACTTGTGAAATATGCCTACAGGTTCGAATTTAGAAGCTCATATCTGGGTTCCCCTGCATTTTGATTTTTTTTTTCAATGTTTTTTCATTCGAGACTTGGGTTTGTGGACTTGAGGGTGGGTTTATGTGTTTTCTGTTAAAGTTTAGAAGTTCGATTTTTTTTTTTCTATTTGACTTTTTCAATATTCGAATGGTATTCCTTTGCTTTTCCTTTTGAAGCTGCGTTTATATCCGTTTCTATGGGATTTGGGCTATTTGGTGATGGCTTCTTTTCCAGAATTTTTTTATTTGTATTTTATTATCTTATTTTCTTGATTAGCAACCGTTTTCTAGATGTGATTATTGCTTTTCCAGTTAAAGATCGTAACTTTCCCTGTTTTTTCCATATTTCTCTCAACGGAAAGTGGTATTTTAAATAGGGTCCTGTCATCTGTAAATGATTTTTTTTATATGTTACTTGGGTTTTTGGTTTATTCTGTTTTCCCTGGAGCTTCATACCCTTTCTGATTTGAAATTGAGCCTACCAATTTTGAGACGATAAATAGTTTGTACCACGAAAAGGGTGGGATCATCGCGTCTATTTCTATGGTTTTCCTGTAAGAAAACGAGTTCATTTATCCTTATGTTGACGTATACGGCTCAGAAATTTGAATTTTTTGCGGTTTCTCTTCGTTCTGTTATATAGAAATTTCGACTTTAAATGAAGTTCTTATCTGGGTATTTTTTTTCTCTCGATCTCCTTTGGAAATAGTAGAAATTTCGATCAACGGGCTAGGCTATGATGCAGCTGAACTTATGAGAAGTGATTATTTATGGGAATTATTTTTTCTTTCATGTTGCAGAAATTTGAACCTGGGTACACAGCACCACCAAAAAAGGCCCAACAAGAAGAAGTAACTGTTACAATCAGGTAATTTCTTTTTCTTTCTATTTCTGTAAATAACGGATTTCTGTAAACAGAACCATTATACTAAAATGCGCCTCTTCAACTCTGAAATTCGAAACAGGGGAAGCTTGGAGGTTCCGAGGCAAGAGCAAGAGCAGATGCAGCATCTTAGCCGCAACCCAAGATTAATGGCAATCGTCGTAGCCGAAGGCAGAATGGCCGAAAGCGACTACTCTGAGTGTTCAGCTGCCGCCGAGAGAAGCGCCTCTTGCTGTAGATCAGTGGCTCTCACCGTAAGTATTACAAAAGCTTTAAATTTTGGCCACGTGGCAAACATGCAACTCTCTGTACGAGTTTAAACCTACCAATACAATCTGTGGACCCTAGCTATTTCTTGCATGCTTGCCACCTGGAAAGCTGAGAACAGTAAATGAATATGTTCATTTATGGGAAAATCCGAAATTGAATTTTCTTTGGTTCTGATTGCATTTGGCAGTTTACGATGCTTCTGCTGGTGAGACACCTCCTATCAGTGCTTATGGGTGGAACGGACCAATATGTATTCACAATTCTTACAGTAAGTGAGAGTGTTTCTCTGGCGCACTACATTCATTCCATCACCACTCAGCACTTGATAGGGATCAAGATGGTGAATTGGTGATCGAGCTAATTGATTAATTTCGGTCAAAATTGTGTGCAGGTATGTATTCTAAGGGCCGGTGGAGTGATTCTCCCGCTTTATATCTTGATACGAATTGCTGCAGCGATTCAAAACAACCTGCAGCATCATCATGTGAGTCCCATAAACTCTTCTCCTGGACAATTTCAAGTCTCAGAATACTTTCAATCTTCCCCCTTTTCTTGTGAGTTATAATGCAATGCACCATTTTCATACACGAGAGTGAGAATTTGGTGCAAGGAATTCTTCAAGTGAGGTCAGATTTTGAATTTGCCAGGTGGCAAGAGCCCTCCAGTGGAGACTCCAAAGGAAAATTAAAAAAAAAATGTAGAGAGTTTATGGCAAGTCAAAACTTAAAAATGTGGATACAAGTTTGCATCACCAATTAGTTTATTATTTGTTGGTAAAAAATTTTGGTAAATTAATCCTTACTAAAACCCATTTATTTTACTACTTCAGGAGTCTGAGAATGATGTCTCACCCCTTCAAGAAAGCGATGACGATGACTATAATGACAACAATGAAGAAGAGGAGGAACTGGAAGTAGACTTAGAAGCGCAGTTACCCAATACGGTCCAGATACACTCCTAATGATTTTGATTTATTTTAAATTTTTTGTTCGTCTTAAAGTCAGAGGAGCATTATTTTGATGCCCCTTTTTCTTCCACTCATACGAAAAGAAATATAAAATCAGGTTGATTCCATGTGTTGTTTTGGTTTCTTTCTTTTCCCAACCCTGGAAATCTGGAACTCTCGGAAGGTTACACGCCGTGCATGCTGAAGCTACAATGGTCATTTTTTTTTATCCCAGCAATTACATCAATCAATTAGGATTGGCCAAATAGAGATAAATTTAAGTGGTGTTTTACACGGTCTTTTGGGCTTTGGTAAATTCTCTTTTTTTTCTTTGGTAGTATTGTGATACACGATTAGGATCCTCTCATGGAGTCTCCCCCAAGCATCAGCAAAACATAAGTCTAATTCCTTGCCTTGATTTTCCCTGATATGGCATTGAGACTGTGACCCCTCTTAGCCAGATATAGCCTGCCGCATAGTTGCCTTCTTTGAGGCTTTGGTAAATAAGTAAATTCTTTGTTTGGTAACCAAAAACCGGAAAAACAGAAGACGTGTATGAAACGATATGGAAAGACCAAAAATGCCAAATTTCAAGTAGATTCAAATGAAGCTTTCTAATCTTTCATAATAACCACTTAACAAATTTTTAAAAAACCCAATAAACCAAGCTGTTCATCAAATGGTCTTTGTTTTAAAGGCTACCCCAAAAACACAATCGTCTTTTAATCATCTGGGATGTTAGAAAACTTTTTTCTAAAAAAGACTTGTCAAATGGTAACTAAGACGAGGTCCCCAGGTCGTCTAAAAAGACTTACCTCGGTAGATATAGTCTAAAAACAAGATTCATTTGATTGATAAGTCATACGCGAAATAAAAGACGGAGCTATCACATCTTTATGCTTTCAAGTTTCAACTATTTCTAAACAGAACGTATTCACACCATGGCCATGAAACAATAAATGCGAAATTAATAGAGCATAGAAGATTCCGTATCCAGAATTTCATTGGATCATGCACAGGTGGGCTCTCTAAGGGCCAAGAAATCAGTGACTGAATAGTCTATACATGTACATTTTTCTGTAACCAAAGCTCTAGTTGCATATATAGCTAATTAGTAATTACAACTAACACCTTTGCTTTACAAAAACATATAAGACAGCAATCGGTCTTGCCCAGCATGTTTTGAACCATGAAACCCGAGCTCCACGATTGAAAAAAAAAAAGAATTTTCCTATCACTTTTAACAGCCTAGGCTGTAGGGAAGAGCCTTTACTTGCACAAAATTAGGCTCTCAAAAACAAACCAAAGCAAATCAGCATTGCAGTTTACCCATCAACCTCGCTCCACAATTGACCTTGCTTTCTGCTGAAGTTCAACTAACAACCTAACACTCTTGTCCTCACAAGACTCCTGGCAACTTGAATTCGCTAAAACATTAAATAAATCTTGGGAAAAAACCGCAAACTCATTATTCCAACTTTCAGTGAACACTTGAACCTCAGATCCCTGCCTGTTCTTGCCATATATGGCTTCAAATTCTCTTGATTTCGCAGCAGCCTTTTGAAGGACCATGTCAGGAAGCCCTGAAATGCTAGCCATGATTAGAACAGGAAGAGATAATCATATACCTAGCAAATAGAAAAAGAGAGTTATGGATATCGCACTTCATTTACGAAATCCACCGAGTTTTTCTTACCAAAAAAAAAAGAAATCCACCGAATTTTGACCCATCCATGAATCATTTAGAATGGGCCATATCCCAAGTAATAAGACCAACTGGGAAAATATTACACCCATCGAAATTACAGTTGGTCTTAGCAAGATATAGTTTTAGTTTACAGAGAACACAGTGAGAAAAAAAAAAATGTCCAAGACCATAATGGAGGGAAAAACCAAAGTTCTATCAGATATGACCGACCACATTCCTTTTCTACAAATCACCAGAGACCAACCAAATCTCCGATCATAGGCAGGTATTTTCTCATGATACAAATTTATTTAGTAAGCCAAGTATCAAATACTACTGGATTTTGCCAAAAATATACACATGCTTCCTAAGCCAAGAACAACTCAAATCGCACTAGTCTTGCAGTTTCAGCAGCCAAGTTAACCATGCCTTGTCCATTATAAATAGAATGCTTTACTAATCCAAAAGGTATATTACTTCCCTCCATGTCTTACCAAAAAAAAATAAACGTAAAGGTAACACATTACCTGCCAGCCTTGCAACATTAACACCATAACTCTTGGGGCATGCACCAGGTGTCAATCTGTAAAGAAATGTAACTTCTTCCACATCTCCAGTTCTCTTTCCAACTTGGCATGCCATATGGCACAGTGACACCTGTAGTTAACATTGCAAGATTTGAAGGGTAGGTCAAACAAAATTTGCATACAGCTGTCAAACCAGAAAGCAGCCAACATCGGGTCTTAACTGTTATAGCGAACATAAATAAAATACCAATTCACACATGAAAAAAGATACTTGCAGGTCAAATTCAATATGATCAGAGGATAGCATGCATTAGATCGAGTTTTCTAGATCACTGACATAATTTTCAAAGGACTACTAAATCAGTAAGATCTGCATATCTGGGTTCATAATTACAGAGTTCCCCTAGAATGTGTGCCAGTAGAATCAGTGGCACTCAATGCAGACTCATCAGAGGAAATAAATTTTACATTTGGATCCATGATCTTTGAATTCTCTTAGCAATGCCCACCAGCAATTTGCAAGTATGGTAAGTTGGCAACTACCATCTACATTCAGAACGTGGATTCATCAATCAAAGGAACCAAAACTATACCTTGGGGTCTTTTTGGTAGTTCACAGATAGCCGGTGATAGTGAGTAGAAAACATTCCTCGGCATTGTATCTTCTGGACAAAATGCTCCAGAACTGACTCTCTGAAAGTATAGTAACAACAAAAAAATGACAAGTTGAGCTAAGCTGGACATTTTATGATGTGTATTTTATTCAGCTATATTCGAACTTAAAGTGAATCCACTTATAGAGACTCGTGTTATACTTGAAAATTGGAGTGACGAGAGCACTTGGCACAACTGATTTTTGTAAACCCAGTCACATCCCTAATGAAAAGATAAACATGCCCCTATTTAAAATAATAAAAATCAATATATAGGGGTGCCCTGTCCTTTAAAACTTGTGCATCTTGATTAATGATTAGAAGTTATCCCCTTTCTACCAAAAATAGGATGTGTCCCGCCCCAAATCACCCCCTTTAAAAATAAAAATACGTGAACTCGTCTTCTGGTACTTACGCAATGGCTTGCCCGTCTGAAGTTGATGTCCCACGTCCAAGTTCATCCAATGACACTAGTGAATTACGAGTTGCTGAAGACTGCATTGATCAACGAGAATAGGATCATTACTTGGCACTAGGAGCGATCATTTCTAGCCCAGACTACCTATGTGTGCATTGACGGCCCATGATCACTACTACATAGCACAGAAAATGCAAATAAAATAGAAGGAATGTAAAACCCAGGGATCTTTTTTTCTATTCAAAGTTTCAAACAAGAAACCATCTTCTGATATTCCCCACCTCCCATTTAATAACAACATAGAATGGTCTCTAAAGACCGCATGGATTGATTCACCTACTCATCATAATTCAAGTTTTCTGCTACCATTTTTGTGTAGGAATGGGCTTGTCACAGGGAACTACCATATCTTGGATAAAGCAAAAATGGTATGTTGTAGGCAATTACATCTCAGAGGAAAAATTACCAGCATAGATGCAGTCTCTGAAAGTTCTGTCATGAATGTACTCTGGCCTGACATAATGTGGTCTTTTGCACCCATTCGAACAAAAATTCTATCAACAGGTGATAACTCAAAGCTTTCTGCTGGGACATCTGCTCCAAGCTGGGAAGGAAAAACCAAACGTGAAAAGAGTTTCATAGGACCAGGGTAACCCGATAACTCACAAGAGAGAACCTTACTTGTGCCAAAATTACAGCCAGGCAGACTTGGCGAATAAGAGTTGATTTACCACCCATGTTGGGGCCTGTGAGAAGGATAAAGCTGGGACTTCCAGAACCACCAATACATACATCATTAGGGACAAATGTACCTTTGCCTAGAGCATCACTTCTGAGAACAGGATGTCCTAATCCTTTTGCAGACAAGCATGGCATTTCAGTTGAACATGATAGGCCTGAGATGATTGGTTGACATGTGGCTCCTTCATAATAGTCACTTGCAATTGCTAAACTGATCAAAACATCCAGTTCTGCAGCACATATCGGTTGATATTCAGCCATGTAAGATCAAAAGTCTAATTATGTGGAGCATCGGCTTCTTTACCTTTATGCATAACGTCAAATGCCATACTACAGTTCTATTTTTCTAGACATGCACTCAAGATAAATTTCACTTCTCAGATTTAAGAAAGAAAGAAAAGCAAGATGGCACTGTGATAAAACAAGGACCAAAATATATAAATTGCCAATAAGTCAGAAAAGTGGGGCCTGCCTTGAAAATGGGTCCAGGTTTTGAATGACTTTCCAAAATTATTTACTATGAAAAGAAAACCACAAGATGACAATATGAACAGGATACTTCTGTAAACAGCTTATAAAATTGTTGAATATATCTCAATTTTGCAGTCAAACCAGCAAGAGGATAGACTATAGCATAAGTCGGGGGAAATCCAATTACAGAAAGCAAGTTCCTCTCTTGGATAAAAAAAGTTGTGATTCAATACTCAATGCACCACATAGTTCCAGTGCCTTCCATGAGGAGCAAAATATTTCCTTGAAAGGATCAAAGGACAAGCACTACTCATCCACAAGAGAAGTTCCATTATCAAATGTTGACATAAATGCCAAAGACTCAATATGTGAAAGTGGAAGGTAAACCAGAAGCATAAAACAAGACACTGGAAAAGGTACTATACATTGCAACAGATGTTATATAACATATAATACATACATTGAGTGCATATGCATCTTAGACAAGTAATGATACTGGATGTGTGCATGCATTAAGATAAGGTTGCTACTGCATATGCATAAGGAGCATAACCTGCGGTAGTAGAAACCAACTGCCTCCACTTAATATGATGCTCACAGAAATGCCCAATCAACTTCTGAAGAATGCTTTTCAATTTAGATTCCTTTTCAGCTTCAGCTTGAGAAAGTTCTCCCAATAACTTCTTAACTGTTGGAGTCCAATACCTGAAGAATCCCTGTACATGCCAGAAAAGAACAGTGAAGATTCCAGATAAACTGGTGGGAAGTGAATACAAATGGAATACCAGAATATCTTGTTCTCACATTAAATTAATATACAAAGTCTTCAATCACCTTCATTTTGGTAGCACTAGAGAGTTGATCAATGAACTAACAAGCCCCCCAAAACACACACACAGAACTGCAACTAAGGCATTATTTTATAAGGGTAATGACCAAAATGGAGCTGAGATAGCAAAGAGGGTGGAAAAACTTCAAAAGGATTTTCTTCGGGAAGGAGTGAGAGGAGGGGGTGCCAATAAATTTCACTTGGTTAAATGGGATAAAGCATGTAGACCAAAAGAGGGAGGGGTTTGGGGATTAGAAGAGAGATTTTTTAATAAAGCTCTTCCTAGGAAATGGATGTGGAGGTTTGGGTTGGAGAGGGAGAGTCGATCATTAAAGGAGAGTGGTGGTGGGTAAATATGGGGTGGTTAGGTTTGGTTGGGAATCAAGGGAGATTAGGGCTTCTTATGGGATTTGTGTGTGGAAAGGTATTATGAAATTCAACCAGGAGTTTATTATCTATAAAAAAAATTCAACCAGGAGTTTAAGAACTTCACTTATCTCTCATTTGGAGATGGGGAGAGGATAAGATTTTGGGAAGATGATTGGAGTGGGGTGGGTAAGCCAATGGAGGAGTGTTCAAGGCTGTACAGACTCTCTAAGCATGAGGTCACCATCAGCCAATGTTTTGAGTGACATGGGGATCAGAGGGTTTGGTGTCCTAGGTTCAGGAGACCATTGCTCGAAGGAGAGGTGGAGGAATGTATTTACAAGGCACTTACAGACCATTCGAGAGATGAGCTGTGGTGGAATGAGTGTTCTAATGGCAAATATACAGTCAAATCTTGCTGCTCAGCACTGTGCAAGAATTATCTAGAGCTTGATTAGAGGGTGGGCATTTGGGGCAACCCAGTGCCCCCGAGGATGGAAGCTTTAGCATGGCTTATTTCTATGGATAGTGTACTCATTGCAGATCACCTTAAGAGTAGAGGTTTCTGATGGAGGGTGATTTGACCCGATCCCTTGAGATGATGACACGTGGACATGACTCAACACGAGCAACAGCTCAGCACCACAGCCTGACCGCAACTAAGTAACCAGCCCACAGGGCAGCTCGCTACACCATAGCTCGCTATAAGGGGGGCTCGCTACTACGCGAGCTCGAGGTCCCCCGAGCTACTGAAAGGGAATACTCCAAGACAGGTCTATCCCAGCTCGCGAGCTAGGGTAACCAGCTCGCTCCAACACTTAGGCAGAAAAACTGCCCCAAAGGCAACCTTGAGAGGGGTCACCTCGAAGTACCCCAAGGAGCTCGCTACAAAGTAGCTCACGACAGGATAGCTCGCTACAAGGTAGCTCGCAACTAAGCAACGCGATGCTTTCAGGAAGCTTCTATCTGACAAGACCGTACCCGTCAGACTGCGCCACGTCTCCTGACTGACGGCGCAGTCCCTGCCAATTCGACAGACTGCACCCACATCTCTCGACAGATGGTGGCATGCCTGTCCTCCCGGGACGTGTCACTCACCCGATTGGGTAGTACCCTACAACGATTACCTGCGCAGCTCTGGCAGATAACGGTTGTGATAGAAGCCCAGTGGCGGTTACGCCCGATTTGACAAGAACACCTATATAAGAGCCCCCTAGTTAAAGGGAAGGGCTCTCTCTCTCTCGTACATCTGATTTTGGATCTTGAATCATCTTACCTTACTCAAACTTTCTCTCGAGCTAACTCAGTGATCTAGCGCGACCTACACTCTTAGCCTCTTTACACTCTTCACTATTTTCTCTAATGTTCTAACTTAAGCATCAGAGTATTCCCACCGGGCAAGTCCCCCGGGAATTCTTCACCATCTTCTCAGGTGTCGTCCGTTGCCAACTAGAAGCCAATCAGCAGCCAACTAGGAGTGCCCGGATTGCGCAGCATCAGTTTCTGTCTTGCTAGCATGTGCAGAGAGCAAGAGGAATCTGTGTGTCACCTGTTCATACGGAAGATGACTATTTTCATCTGGAAGCTATTTTCTGCATTGTTTGGGGTGAGATATCTCCAACCTGATTCCCCTGGTCAGATATTTTCTTTGTGGTTGAAGGCTCAGAGGTTGTAAGAAGGCCAAGCTTCTATGGTCCTGCATTCCTTGCAGTTCACAAAAAGGAGATGTTTTGAAGACAAATGCTGGAGTTTGAAGAAATTAGTGACAGCTATTGGCAAAGTTTCTTCTGATAACTTTTTTCCTTTTACTTGTCAAAAAAAGACCAAAATACAGACACGATGTAGATCCATGATGAGAATGCCTGTCTTAATAAAGACTTTTTTAGGTTCTAAATTTGTTTAAGTTACTTGAATTCTATAAGTAGTTCTTTTAAGTATACTAAGGTCTATTTTGTGGCAACATAGAAACTTGGATTAAAATTCAGTTTATAGATTTTTATTGGAAACAACAGAATTTCATTTATTTATTTATTTATTGATAGGTAATAACAACAAAAACTTATTGCTTGTAAATACAATTACAAATTTAAGCGTCTAGCCTCAGCTAACCCCATCACTAACAACTTATGTTGCATTGGTATTGTGCTACAATACATATGATTCCCATACACTCCAGATTTTGCCAAACCGTCAGCTAGATGGTTAGCTGACCTTGAAGTCCAACTGAATTAAGCTCCATATTCTAAAGATAGTGATAGGAATCGATCAGCACCCTTGAAGACTTATTCTAGAAAGAAGAAGGCCTTACAACAGGTCCCAATATGGCATAGTGATGGTACTTGGGATTTGGACTGAATTGAATATCAAGGGTATTTTTGTCATTTTATGTGGGTCCAATGATAGGGTTTAAATTGTTCAGTTATAGTTTGTTTATGTTTAAAATTTCAGTCATTGCATAAGTAGGATTGGAGTTATTGAGTCTTCTTTGAATTGAAATAGGATATGACAGCTTAGGTTGAACCCTACTAGGATTATTGACTCTAATGGTTTTACTCCTAAGACTATTATGAATCTAACTTGACTCCTAGGATTATTATGAGTTTAGAGTCTATAAATATGTATGGACGTTTTACACAAAGGCAATGAAATATATTGAGTTTTCTTCAGCTTATGCTAGCTATGGTGAGTGATTCCCATACCCTAGAGTGATTCTAGGCACCCTGTGAGTGATTCCAGGTATTTTCTCTTCTTTCTCTCCCTATTTTCTCTTTTATTCCTTCAAGAAACCATTACAGCCATCAACAGCCATAAAACTTTGACCAAGAAGACCATTCAACATTCTCTAAGGACTAGAACTAAGCTGGTCCTACATCAGATTGGTATCAGAGCCAAGGTTATAGGCTGTTATTGATGTGGACACGTATTGGGAGCAGCAGCAGCAATGATCCGATGTTCTCATCCTATCCAATTCGGCAGCAACAGTCTTATCCATTCGGCAGATTAGATTAGACTATCTTGTTATTCTTATCTTATCTTATTAAGTTAGTAGATTAGATTATCTTATCTTATTAGGTTGCCTTATCTTATCAGATTAGGATTAAGAGAGACTTATCTTATCTTATCAGATTAGGATTAAGAGAGACTTATCTTATCTTATCAAGATTTAAGGAGCCACTATTAGTGAATAAAGGCATCGAATATTCAGTCAAGAAGTGAGTTAGGAGAGTTGGTGATCTCTTGAACAAATCACCAAGGTGCCAAGATAGGTTCATCAAGAGCAGGGAGGAACAAGGGAAAACAGGAGGTTTCCCTCGTGGACCAACCCGTGACGAGATCCTATTCGCGGGCCCATAACAGTTATCATCATGGCTACATGTAGTGGCAAGCAGTATAGGGTTCAGCTAACTGATACACAAAGAGATTCATTGATTTCTACCCTTTGCAAGAGAGTTGAAACCCTTGAAGCACAAGTAAAAGAACTTCAAGAAGAAAAATAAGAAGAAATACAGCAAGAAGCACCTCTAATCAATGAAAGGCATGGAGGATGAAACAACAGAGCTGTCCATGAAGATGATAATGGTGAAGATAAAGGATCTGTTATTCTTAGAGGATGACAAAGAGCTGCAAACTGCACAAGGGTACCACCTGCACAAGTTAATCGAACCCGAAATAAGGGATTGATCAAGAAGCATCGCTCACAAATCTATTTGATGAGATGATGGAACAAGCTAAACATGATGGTTATGCAGATGATATAACCAAGAAGGTAAAGGTGGATGTTTCTGATTTCAATGGAGATTTAGACCCTCAATCTTTTCAGATTGGCTGGCTACACTGGAGGAATACTTTGACTGGTATGACATGACTGATGATCGGAGGATCAGATTTGCACGCATAAAGCTTGGCGGTCATGCTAAAGTATGGTGGAGAAGCATGGAGCGACAATTGGAGAATAGTGGTGATGGTCCTATTTCTACATGGTCAGAAATGAAGAAACATTTGAGAGACAAATACCTCCAAATGGACTTCCAAGATGAGTTATATGAGGAATTGACTAACCTCAAACAAGGTACGCTATCTGTAGTTGAATACATGCATAAATTTGATGAATTATCTATTAGATGTGATACTACTGAAAGTGAGAGACAAAAGTTGGCTCGATTCAAGAATGGACTACGGACTGAAATCAAGAAAGAGATGGTAACTGCTCGAGTCTTTGACTTAGAGGATGCCTATCAAGTTGCTGTCAAAATTGAGAAGATTGTAAAGCAAACAAATACAAGGCAATTTGTATCACAAGCTAGGAGTATGCAGCTCGTAAGCAAGCTGATGGGGGAAAGACTTCTAGGCCAGCATATTCTAATGCCATCTCTAATAAGCCTAGTGGGTCAAGACCTTATCAAGGGGATGACTATAAGAATAAATCAGTTGCTAGTGGTGTTACTCAAAAAAACAAGCCTGATACTAGTTGTTTTATGTGGAGGAAAGGACCATATGGCTTACCAATGTCCTACCAAAAGCCTTAATATCATTTATGAAGAAGGCATTAAAACAGTAGGTGGTCCAGGTGATGACTTAGCTGAAGAAAAGGATTATTTCTTCACTAAAGATGATGCTTTAGATGAAGACAGCAACTATGTTGGTGTAGTTCGACGTATTCTTACATCCCCAAAGGAAGAAATCAAGGAAGATTGGCTTCGTACAGCAATATTTCAAACTATAGTAAAAAGTGGAGACAAGTATTGTAAGCTTATCATAGATGGTGGCAGTAGTATGAATGTGATTTCTGAAGTCACTGTGGATCGGCTAAAGTTGAACAGATTGCTTGGGTTGATAAGACAACAATTCCGGTAACTAAACGAGCCCTTGTTATTATTTCTTATGGTAGTTATTCTGATTCTATTTGTTGTGACAATGTTCCTATGAATGTCACACACATTTTGCTTGGAAGGCCTTGGTTGTATGATAGGGATCAAGGTTTTTAAAACCAACCCAGACAACGAACCGGGCAGGGGTCCGGTTCCCAGGTCGAACAGTCCGACCATTCGAACTGAACAGATGGCCCATTTCGACAAAAAAATAAAAAAAAAATTAAAAATTAGAAACCGGCTAAACCGTTGAACGGTTCAAACACCTGGGTCAGCGGTTTGCTGACCAAATCAACGATTTTGGGGGAAATAACAGTTCTAGGGTAAAACAGAACTGGTCACCTGACCGGTTCCAAGTTTTTCCAGTCTGACTGTCCGGTCCGGTCCGATTTTGAAAACCATGATAGGGATATCAACCATTGTGGAAGGGAGAACACCTATCACTTCCTATTCAAGGGAAGCGAGTTATCATGAAGCCAATGTCATCGAAAGTTATTAAAAGGCATGCCAGACCACCTCAAAAGGAGACTACAGCCCAAGGGCCCATTGCTGAATCTAAGAAAAAACCATTGCATTTGCTCTCCAAAAAGAGTTTGAAGTAGAAAGCAAGGAGATAGAAGTTGTATATGTTGTAATACCCAAGGAGGTAAAGCAACCAGATGTTGTTCCACCTACTGAAATGCCTAAAGAAGTGGTCCGAGTGTTGGATGAGTTTTCAGATTTGGCACCAGATGAGCTAAATAATGAGTTACCGCCCATGAGAGACAATCAACATGCTATTGACTTGCAGCCAGGGTCACAATTGCCCAACTTACACAAAGGCAATGAAATATATTGAGTTTTCTTCAGTTTATGCTAGCTATGTGAGTGATTCCCATGCCCTAAAGTGATTCTAGGCACCATGTGAGTGATTCCAGGTATTTTTCTCTCTTCTTTCTCTCCCCATTCTCTTTTATTCCTTCAAGAAGCCATTACAGCCATCAACAGCCATAAAACTTCGATCAAGAAGACCACTCAACATTCTCTTAGGACTAGAACTGAGCTGGTCCTACATCAGATAGATTTGATATTTCCCTTAGAGCACATATTTGTACTTCCATGATCCCACTCAACGTTCTTCACCAAGCCACTATAACCGTTGAGTCACCTTTAACCTGTATTTTTTTGTAGACAAGTGACACAGAGAGCCTAAGACCATGCAGCAATGCCCGCAATTCTGCCCTAATTCAGTCCAACTGAATTGAACTCTAGTTTTTTAAGATAGATTTGATATTTCCCTTTGTACATGTCTGTACTTCCATGATTCCACTCAATGTTTTTTGCCAAGCTATTATAACCATTGAGCAACCACCAACCTGTATTTCGTAGAAAAGTGAACAGCCAGTCTTAGACCATGCAACACTGCCCATAATTCTGCTTTAATTGAATCACCAGTCTCTATCTATTCCAAATGGCATTGGATTTCCTAAACTGCATCCATCAAAATTCATCTCTATCCTATCAACATTAGGTGATTGCCAATTTTACTGATTGTTTTAACTACTGTCTTTGAAGAAGCTATTGCCAACCAGTTCCTGAAAATGTCATCCACAAAAAGTGTTGAAAGAAGTTTTTAGCCAATGAATGATATTCACCAATATGTTATCCACTAGTGCACCTTTATTTTCCAACTTATCTTTGAAAATTCATGAATTTCTTTCTTCCCATATGCACTGTTTTCTTGGTACTGAGATGATATGATTCCAGAACAGATAAAAGAGAAGAAGGAAAAGGAAGAAGAGAGACAGAATTGAGAGAGGCAAAAAGTCAACTGGCGGTGCCAGTTTATTTGGTATTTATACTAGGGCGACCATACAGAAAAAAGAAAAGAGAAAATTACAAAGGTGCCCTTGCGGCACTAAACTTAAAATAAACTAAGTTATTTCAACATGCACCAAAGAATGACTGCTCTAACACACCTCCACATCATTTTGCCTCTTTGTTTGGGATGAGATTAAAAAAGAATGGCAGGAGATTAGTGTAGTAGATGAAGGTGTTTTCACTAGTTCCTTCTAAAAGAGACAAGAATGAGAAGATAAGAGGCAACAAGGTTTCCTACATGCAGATTCTCAAAGGTATTGGTCTTATCATGGAATACTTCCCAATGAAACAACTCGTGTTTTTGGAGGGGTGGGACCTTTCCAAATGGAGTTGACCAGACAATTCAATTGGGGAGAGGAGCTCTGAGTTAGGACTTCAAAAAAAAGATGTACAAGAAAATATCCCTTTCTGGTTAAGAATCCAAATCCTTTCATCACTATCGGAATGGTAAAGAAAGACATCCTTCAAACATTCTAATAATGTAACTGCTATAGTAGCTTCATGGTCTATCAAACAATTCAGTTTATGGTTACTTGATCTTGCTTCAAAAGCTAAAAAGCTTCATGGTCTCTCAAATAAATGAATCTCAGTCCATCATAAGTACAGGTATGATCCTGCTTGTACAAGTATGAAGATAAATATTTATGATGTCTACTGTCTTCACAAAGTCGAGATCGTACTTGACAAGCTTCATGGTCTTCTCAAATAATTGAGATCATAAATTGAAGATAAATATGGTGTGAAAAGACAGTAGAGAAGTGAAAGGAGGCAAGAAGCACCACATTCAAGCTTGTCAAGTCTCCTCAGTCCTCACAGTAAGCTACCTGCTTCTGCTTGCAACCTAACTCATTCCTCTGCATTTGTTTGTATTTATGTAAAATTAAAAAAAAAATGTCCAACTTGCCATGGCATGCTCATTGATTCACCAACTCAGGTTTTTCAACCATGGTATAAACATCAAATAACTCTTTCAGAGAGTAAAGTACAGCAACAGCATGTAATTCAGACATTAATCCATTTTCATTACATACCTTTCTGGATGATCGTAATTCATAATCCCGAGGAACAGTTCTTTGCATGCTCTCAGGCACTTCTAGAAGATATGACTCTTTTCCAACTGTAACATATTTGATCTACAATAAGCACAAGAGGAAAGAAGTTGGTCATCAGAAAAATAGGGCATTAAGACAAAGAAGATAATACAGTTTGGCACGCATCTTACTGAAACATCTCCAAGTACTTTTCGTTGTTCCTTGAGGTGCTTTAAAAAGCTAGATTCAATTTCCTCAACTTTTTTACAGGCAGAGTCATATTCTACATCAACTCCTTCATGGGGTATAATACGTCCTGTCTTATCAGCTTCTATCCAATCAAAAGCATCCTTAAAATGCTTTAGAATGGAATGGACATCAGGTAGACCTTTTCCTGCCATTTATTTACAGATGAGATGAAAAATAGGACTTGTATCACAATGCCAACAATAGAAAAATCAACTATACCAGGTGTCAATAAATGTTGGAGTAGATGAGATTTAACAGAATCCAGTATAGCACCGAGAGAAGTGCATGCTTGGACCATCAATTCACAACCACGTAATGCAGTAGTAAATTCTTGAAGTTGTTTCTTTGCTGCATCCTCATAAAGGACTACTTTATTGGCATTCCTTCCATTAGCTTCACTGCATTCCATGCAAATCAGATGCTAAGCAATTCCACAAACAAATTCATCAAAACTTATCATCAATGTATATTTTGTAGTGAAAACTTGGGGGAATGTTAGAACCCAATATATATATATATATATATATATATATATATATATATATGTGTGTGTGTGTGTGTAATGTCATAGAATTTGCAAAGCAATTTGGATGCCATGCTTTAGAACCACAAACCAATCCCTAAAACAGTAGCATGCAAAGAACACCCTAAAAACATTGAGGTTTGTATTATAAAGGTTCATTTTCTTTTGATTTTTTTCCTCCAATCAAAAAAAGTACATACTTTTTCTTTTAGCAAGACCCAGAGAAAAAAATAGTATATGTATAAGGCAATTGATCCAACAAAAGATCCTTTATAGTGGATGAATTACTACACCTCAAAATGGAGGATCAGTTGTATCCAAAACACCACAGGTTGACTCCAATAAACTCTTTCAGAATTAAAGCCTAATCTATAATGAAGCTGTTAGCATCCACAAAAAGATGTATAAAAGGTCGTTCACCTTTGGACACCTTTAATTCTTCTATTCCCTTTCTTCCAAATACTCCAGAAAATTTCAGAAGGAACAATATGCCAAAAGAACAGCCTCTACCATCCAAAGATGCTACTAAGATCTCTAATCAAAGCCCTATAACAAACTTGGTCAAGATTCTTTCCCTTGACTGTATCTCCTAAAACCAGCAACTGCAAACGAAGCAGATATGGAAGCAAGGAAAGAATTAATGGAGAATAAATCAGTTTTCTCCTGATTTCTACACCAATTTCAGAATTCTTGGATAATTGAGATATTAGTATTTTTTGAGTTTTTAATTTAATTTCTATTTATTGGTGTCTTAGAAATACTTCTGTCCAAGACTTATAGAAATCCTATTGTAGTAAAAAAAATCAAATTACTAATTTTAGCAACTTTCAGACTTAATATTTACAGAAATTCCCATAATAATTATTTATAGTAAAATTGCCCAGTTTCAATGATGCCACAAGGGTATGATACTGGAAGAACTTTGACTAATCAGAATCCCCCTCTGTGAATTTTGATGAATACCAGTTGACTGGTTACCACTTCCATGATACCAGTTTATTTGTTGTGCTTAATACACATTTTCAGTATCATAGTGGGCCTCAGTAAAACCATGATGTACTAAAATTAAGTTATGAAATCTAGACATGAGAGACATTTATATTTTTGTGTGAGGACAATTCCATCATTTTACCTTCTATTATATTTCTTTTATCAGCATTTTACCTTCTATTATAGATATTACTAAGAAGGCCTAGCATCCCATGTTTTTGCTCTCTTAAACTTTCTCTTCCCTTGCCTCTCTTTTTTTCCTCTTTTTTCTTCTTTTCTTCTCTAATCAAATTTTTTAATTGCCACAAGTTGTAACCAGAGCATAGATCCAGGCTTCGCAGTTGATTGCACACTTTCCCATATGCTGATATCATCAGTACCATCAGATTATGTCAGCAAACCTTATGGCAGTTGACAAAGCCAACAAAAAACAGAACTCTAGGTTTTGATCAAGAGTAATTCTAGAAGAATTTAATGTAGATGTCATGCTTTTTTAAGTTTTTTTTTGAAAGAACAATAAAATTACATATTTAACTCAAGGTGATGCAGCAACTCATGGAGCAAAATCTAAATCACCCAACTTTTTAGAGGAGTTTGAAACTGTTCATGTGTGATTTGGATGAGTATTGAAGGTGCTACAAAGATTTTTTCACCAACATATTTAGCATTTGATATGATTCATTTCATTTCAGTTTCAGGTATCCATTTAGAAATAATTGGATTCAAAATATGATCCATTTATTAATCAGATTGAATCTGGATGTTGGTTGATTCAATCCAATATTAAACTTATTTTCTTTTTTTGGTAAGAAAAAAAATACTAAACTTATTTTCCCCTTTATGATATATACCATTTGTTCTATATTTAAGATTAGACATTTATGCTAATCTTATGCAAATTTACTAATATTTTAATTGAATCAGATTCAAATAGGATATCTAGATATACAAATGAATTGAATTTGAATCCATCTTTTATCCATCAGATACCAGATAAATTCAGATCTCTTGGATTGTTATTGGATCAGATCGAGATATAACCATACCCAGATTTGATCCAATCCATTTGCAGCCTTAGTTTTGACTTTTTTGAGCTGCCAAAGACTCATCTGCTGCTATGGTATGCAATGCAATGTATGGATGCTATGGTGATTGATTATCCCATGCTATAGAAAATAGGGCTGCAAACAGATCTGCTGCTCTTTTCCTTCTTTCTGATCTCTTGTTCTGTCCACCATTTCTAATCTCTTGCTCATTTCTTGGTGGGCAACAAGCTCTCTGCACCATCCACTTATATTCTTCATCATTAATCACTGTCTACCTGTCCTACAACATCATCTACCTTATTGCTGGACCCATATCTTTTTTCTTTGGTTTTAGTCCAAGCATAGGCCAGCTGGTCAGCAGCTAATATACCTTTAACTGCAGCCCCTAAATTCCACAATAGTTCATACTAATGGAACCATGTACACCAATAGTATTAATCCACATCTCTTCTTGGTTAATCCCCCTCCCCCACTCCAGGAAAATAAAAGGCTCATGCATCTTAGAGAAACAATTAATCCACAATTTTCACTAAGCCTCTTCCATCATTTTGATTTAACCTTCAACTTCTTATGTTGGACACACTAAACGTCTAACTGCATAGTTTAAGAATCCAGAAGTGCAAGTCACCTTAACTTGCCCTCCTACACAAACAGAACATTGAAACCTATGGTGCTCAGATACAGATTTGAACACAGGAAACAGGGATACAATTCTTCATTCCCAAAAGTTCTGGACACAGAAATGGGTATAGGTATCCCACATTATATGCTTATATCTTTTTTTTTATCAATAACAATTTCATTAATTCACCAAAAAAGTTACATAAGGAAGACAAACACACTTATCTTCCAAAAACAACAAAGGTCCTCAAGAAAAACAAAAGAATAGGAAGATACAACAAAGTTACAACTTAGCCCAAAACATCGAATCCCTTTCTGCCCCTTGTTTAGCTAAACCATCAGCTAAAGAATTGGCTGATCTTTTAACCCAGCACATCTTAACTTCCATCTCCTGCACCAGCCACTTAAATTTCCTCCTCAGATTGTTGTACTTCCATAGACATATTTTGTCTGCATTCAGCCACCCTATCACCACCTCCGAATCCCCTTCAATTAGGAGTTTTCTAATGTTCATCTCCTCAGCTTTCTAGACTCATTCCATAACTGCAAAGATCTCAGCTCTAAGGGAGTCACCCACCCCAATTGGGCCTGAGAACATGGAAAAAATGACCCTATTCTCATCCCTAAGACACCCTCAACCCCTGATTGTCCAGGGTTCCCCCTACTACTCCCATCAAAGTTTAATTTCATGAATCCAGTAGGTGGAGGGGTCCAATACACACTCATTACTAACTTGGTTTGTGTGCATTCTGCTATTTCACCCCACTTCCTCAACATGTCATCCACCGTGTAATCTGTGAATAGTTCCAAAGATCTCAGCCACTGAACTGAAGGGATGAAAGATCCATCATAAGGATAGCCGAACCCTGCAAGTAGGTTGGGCAAAATTTCAAGAATTTCTCTCTCTCCCATATGGGAATCACATTCCCTGCTTTAGAAAACTGCATTTTCAATGATCAATCATGAACCCTAAACCAGACTAGATCTGAAACCAAAAGGGTAAGAGAGAGAAATACCTGATACAGAGTAGTAGTAATTCCCAATGAAGGTGTTCACGCCCAAGGAGATCACCAAAGACTGCTCCCACTGAAGATGACACAGTGTAGGGTGGAGCAGAATCAGCAGGGTGGTTCTTCAGCAAGAACCTGATTCTTCACCAAGAATCTGATGGAGGGCGAGTGAGCATGACTTCAGATCAATTTTTCTCCCAAAAATTGATATCAAGAACCTTTCTTGATCGCTCCTATAGATGAAGATCGAACTGGCAACGGCGGCAACAACAAGAGAAGGCAAGAGCAGAAGATGGCGTCAATCCAACTGCAGTTGTCTTCTCTCTTGAATCAGTAATCTTAAAGGATGAACTGGGGTTCACCCTTCTCCTCTATTTATAGCATTAAAGAGAGGTTCTCCTAATCCCATTAGGAGTTTCCTAATCCAAATCTTGTATTTGGAACTGGACTCTTTTTAAGAGATAAGGATAATCCCTTATCTTATCTGCAAATAAAGATCAACTCTCCTAATCTGATTAGGAGTTTCCTGATCCAAATCTCTAATTGGATCTGGACTCTATGAGTGTATAGGGACAATCCCTTATCCTATCTGCTGATCTAAATCCTAGAACCGCCCCTCTTTAATTAATCATATTAAACCAGTTCGAATTGGGTTTTAGGCCCATTAAGTCCATGTGCTCACTTATCCTCCAAACTGCTTCCCAGTTGGATATCCTTGTATGGCGTGGGACCCAAACATTGATCTACACATCAGCCACATGGGTTCAGCCCAACCTCTGTTACAAAGCCTGGCCAAATTCACTATAGGAAACAATGAACCCCTGAGTCCATCACCATGGGCTCTTAATGGGCCCAACATTTACACTAAATGGTCCCTAGGTCAAGCCACCTTATAAAAACCCAAGGACTGTGGGCAGATGCAAGATTAKCCCATCAGGTATTACCCTCAATGGTCTTACACTTAACCTCTCAGCCCATAATGATCAAACACTACCCGACAAGAGAGGACCTCTCCCTCAGCTGCAAGGTATAGTGTTGCACTCTCTACTAACATAGATCTCGGGAATTAAAACATTTTGCAAACATTTTGAAACCATAATAAATATATGTATATCTGTATATAAATATATTTTGCAAAACAAATTTCAACAATTGAAATCGGCTGCCAGCAGCTTTGGTTTCCATCAAAGAGAGTGCATCCCCGATCATTCACTTTGTCCGACAAAGGGGCTGATCCTGTCACTATGATCACCCACTCATATGAATTCTCGGACTGTCCCAACATACCCAGGTTTTGACCCCCTCTAAGGATCTCACTGATTGGCATATCAAAGACAGCCCAATCCAACAACTAGTGCAGTATCATAATCGAGTCTAGGGGTCAGGTGTAACATTCCAGTTTTACCCATCTATCTCCAAGGTTCAGGGCAATACTGGAATTCTGATCCAGTTCAGGGTTTTAAGAAAACCCACACTACATGTACCTCAAGTCTCACCCTGGCAACTGAGACAAGCCACCCCAACCAATTTGGCGGCACATCAATGTCAGCCTTGGCAAGATAAATCTCCCCAGATCTATCCAACAACTATGAAGATTTTAAACTAACACGAGTCTCATATGTGTCCAGTTTAAGGGTATTACACAGAAACACATCATAATAACATGAATCAAATATGTACTTTATTCATTTACATTAAATGTCATAATGTACATCATTCTGATTGGAGCTAAAGGCATACATTGTCTAACATGAACAGCCCTAATATGAATGATAGCCTTTAGTTCTTCCACTCCTCTCAGCTTTTGAAAATATCCTGAAGTTCCTTTCTTCCCATAATGTCCAACATATTGCAGCCCTCAGTCCTCTCCACATAGTCCTTCCCCTTTTCCTATGCCACCTAAAGAAATAAGGGGAAAAGAGGCCCTATAGATCTAATGGAGGGTTACATCTACACCCAAAGAGGGAAAAGGCCCATTCCCAAATTGACCTCGCAAAATGGCAAGACACCAGTAGATGAAAACTAGTCTCCCCATCCGCTTTACATAGAACACACCAATGGGGTGACAAACAAGTATTAGGTCTCTTCTTTTGGAATAGATCACTAGTGTTGAATCTTTCAAGATAGACTTCCCAAGAAAAACTACCAACCCTAGGAGGGATTGCTCAGCACCAAACCTCATCAACAAGGAAAGGAGGAGTTCCAGGACTGGTGGGTTGGCTTAAAACTTTGAAAAAGGAAGCACAGGAAAAGAAGCCAGTAGGGGTAGGGGTCCAAATTCTAGAGTCCGCCCTTGTGGGTCTAAGACACCATTATCAAGGAGTCCAAGAAGGCTCGAAATATTGTCAATGTTTGAATCCCTCAAAGCCCTTCTTAGACCCAAATTCCACCCAAGCCCAGAAGTGGAAGAGGACGGGGTGATGAATGATGAAATTGGCTCATTTTTAAGATCAGATAGAGCATACAAAAAAGGAAATTGATCCTTTAGAGGGGCATTCCCCACCCAAGTTTGTTCCCAAAATTTTATGGAATTACCGGAATTCAGATCATACCTAATATTAGGGGAGAAAACTAGAAGCAGATCGTGAATGGCTTTCCAAGGAAAAAAGCTTGTGGTTCTAACTCTGATTCCAACATCCCAACCATTGTGCTCCATCCCATGTATACTTGCCACTATTCTAGCCCATAGCTTTTCCTTCTCCAAGGGGAACCTCCACAACCACTTCCCTAGAAGAGACATATTCCTTCTTCTAATATTCTCAATCTCCAAACCACTACAAGTTTTACTCCTGGACACTACCTCCCAGCTGACTCTATGATCCCTCTTCTCCTCTCCTAGCTCCCACAGGAAATCTCTCATCAACTTCTCCAATCTATTAGACACCTTCACTGGGATTTTAAACACAGACACGAAATAGATGGGTAAATTAGCAAATGTGGCCTTAATCAACGTAATTCTTCCACCAAGAGAGAGGTAATTCTTTTTCCAAGAGACCAATATCTTTTCAAACCTTTCCACCACCGGGTTCCAAAAACTCTCCCTCGAAGGGTTATCGCCTAATGACAACCCTAAATAATTCAATGGCCACCCTGAAACTTCACACCCCAACACTTCTACACTCTCCCTGATCTCTCCCTCCTCCATATTCACCCCCACTACGCAACTTTTCCCAAAGTTCACCTTCAAGTTTGACATTTGCTCAAACAATTGTATCACCAACTTCAAGTTCCTGATAGAGCTCACATTACCACCTTCACAAAACATAATCGTATCATCAGCAAACTGTAAATGAGTGAGGGGGTTTCCTCCCTCCCAACTCTCCACCCTCTAATAAGACCCCTCAAGTCTGCTTTGCGAATCAATTTCCCCAGAACCTCCGTATTAGTATGAACAAGAAAGGAGAGAGGGGGTCTCCTTGTCTTATACCCCTACTAGCTGGAAAGAAATCTATCACTATCCCATTCACTAACACTGAATAATGACAATTCCAAACACAACCCATGATCCAATTGCACCATCTAGCCCCAAACCCCAATTTCATCAAGACTTTCCTTAAAAATTCCCAGCCCACCAAGTCATAAGCCTTTTCCAAGTCAAACTTACAGACCACTCCCTTCTTTTTATCCTTCTTAAAGTTCTCCACACTCTCATTACCAATTAAGATTTGATTAGTGATTTGTCTTCCACTCACAAAAGCTCCCTGATTTTGTGCGATGATGTCCGGCAAAACCTCCTTCAGCCTCAAAGACAACACCTTAGCAATGATTTCATATAAGCTATTCACCAAGCTAATTGGCCTAAAATCCTTTGGTGGAAAGCATCTTTCACATTATATGCTTACATCATGTGTTTATATCTAGCTTTTGAAGCTAATTGTCTTTAAGACTTATGCCTTGTCGTATTTAATTAAATTTCTATCATGTTCATATATTTTTATAGAGGTATCAAGGTATCATACACATCAAGATACTTCTTTCCATAACATATTAGAATCCCAATAAGAAATTTCTAAAATTAGTGGGAAAGTAAACAATGTTAACATAGTAAATCTTAAACGAATCAATATCAGCCTAATTAAACTCCACCTACATACTTCTTGTGTTTGTAAATGCAGACTTTTGGGCCAATCAACAAAACAGAGTTAAGCTACTATATTCATTTTGAAGTTTTTTCCCCAATGGCATTTCTTATTTTCCTTTCTACTGTGATTTATCTATCCATCTATGTAGTCCAAATTAGCCATTTTAAGTGCTGACTACTCCATCTCACCTGTTGGCAAAGAGGCGTGCCAACAACCGCTCCATATCCTGAAGTCTAGACATCTCTTTTCGAAATTCAACAGCAGTAGGTAGAACTCCCTGGCAAGGAAAACAAACCTCATTAGCAAAAAATAGTAAAAAGATATAACACCCAAGGACACAAGTACAATGTCAAAAAAAAGCAATCTGCACATCACTTGCAACACAGGTTTCTTGTGTTGAAATGACACAAAATAGAGGAAATTACATAATAAAATCAATTGTAATTTTTAATACAACGGAAAATAACAGCTTTTTCTGCTTGATTAAGAGAGCAACTTCTAATCAGTGACAGTTCTTAGTGATGACAGGGACTAAAGGCATCTTTCTTAAATTTGTAAATGTGTTTAGTTTGCCTTCACTGAGGGAGGCTTTGTGCACAAATGTTTCTAAAGAATATGAAAATATTTCTCCAATTTCTCTCCATTAAGGACCTCTAGTGGTTTGATCTTATTTTTGAAAAATTAAATCCAAGTGATTGAGAACACTCCTTTTTTAGCATAGTTCTCCAAGATGGTAGTAATTATAAGCTAGCAGGTGCTGTGCATGACTCTAAATTTGAATTCCCTACAGCCTTGTGCCATTCAGGAAAGTTGCAACCAAGAGCCTCATCTTTTTAAACCACCTATTGGTACATAGTGATTGCGTGATGTTAAAATGCTGAAGAGAAGCTAAGGATATCTACCTTTTTTTATCTTTAAAGTGAACAATACATATGAAGCTTAATCTTATGGTTATATGCCATCCATTAGAGAAATTGTGGACACATTCATGGCAAAAAGCAATTAAGGTCCCCTTCATTCAGAGCATCATGGAATTATCTGCCTTTGTGAATCAAACCGGTATCCATGCTAAAAAATGACTCCACCAAAAGTGTGGTGTTGCAACCTGGAGGAATTAGCATGTTCGGATGGGACTATGGAGAATGCCCAACTTGACCTCTTGGCTTTACTAATAAAGGCACACTACCAGCGTTTTACCATTTGCAGTGTGATGCAAGAATATAAACAAGAATTGGAACTGGGAGAAAAACAAATTAAAAGGGGGCTTATCCATCCAGAAGTGGGAGCTAGCTCTTCTTGTTCTCAAGTGGTGTGTGGTAAAGGGAACTCAGCATCATACCAAGATCTGCATGCCTCTATCAAAACAATTATTCATAGAAAGGTGTAAAAGACTGTTACAAATTGATGGCCAATCGTAATCATGTGTTGTTGATTCCCAGATTCCATCTAAATCCAAATAAATGGGAGGTACATAGCATTAAACCCCCCTTGTCTAGGTCTGAAATCATCATTCATAAGAAAGCACTATAGACAATCAGCTCTGGGCGAGGGAGAAGCACTTTGTGGTTAAATAATTTTTCAGTTCTCAGGCTGAAAATGTGACAACTCATTCCCATAGAACTTCATAGGTTGTTTTCTCATTCCTACCATCCCGTGGAGTGCATCTTTCTACAAGGTATCAACCATTGACCACACTTTCAAGGGAAAAGGTGATGAACGGGATCTGTTTTACCATATTATGTATTGTATGGGAGCAGCAATGCCAGACCATCTCATCATCAATTATTCTTTTGCTCACATAGTGTTTGGAGCTGGTTCATCAATCCTTTAGAATTGTGTGTTTGTTACTTGTACAATGAAGGAGCTTACTTCTTTGTAGTTCCTATTGAACTTTGGACAGAAAACCAAGCTTTTATGGCAAATCCCCCCCCCTTTGCAATGTATTAGGGCACTTTGAAAGGAGAAGCCCAAATTTATGATTTTGACAAGTTTGATGAGATGTCAGAGGTCATGGTTATAGTGTTGTCCATCTATATTCAGTTTAAAAGGCCATTAACCAATGTTGGTCTCAGTTATCATCTATCCAAAAAATGTTGGTCCCTGCAATCTGGGGTCTTGGGAGAGGTAGGGACCTAACCTTTGGCATTTTTGGCACAAAGTGACTGCTCGCGGACTCAAAGCCAAATTCTCATGCTTGTTAGCCCATGATTTTACCATCACACCAAGCAATGGCCCCTATCTATGATCAATTTAAAAATCCAAATTTGCAAATTTCATGTTGAGGTGGGATGCCTTGATTTCAAGATCCTTTCTGGGTGCATAATCATGTAGATATTCACAGCTCCTATAGACCCATTCTATTTTCATTTATCACTATAATCTTAATTTTACTGTCCAAAGAAAAGGAGCTTTACATATAATGGAAACCAACAATTTCCACAGGGGAAAAGACATCCCTCTTTATATAGTCATTTAGGATGCCTGAATTGAGGATAAGACTCACAAGCATCTTTGTAGTTTAGAAACATACATAAATCCAAGCACATCATAAAATTGAAAACAAGATGAATTAGAATTCGTAAGTTAACTGCCCAATAGTACTGATATTCTCAAAGAACCATTCAACCTAAAAGCTTAAGCTTTTAGGTGAGGTCCTTGAATAGGTTGATGTTCTCTAACATGCCCCCTCACACGAAAGCCCATTTGGGCTTGAAGCGTAAACAAGCACAGGCCCACCCATACCTTGTGCTGAAACTTAATTAATTATAATGGGGGTAACAAGGATCGAACACTAGACCACTTGGTCAAAATGACTCTGATACCATCTCAAAGAACCATTCAACCTAAAAGCTTAAGCTATTAGGTGAGGTCCTTGAATAGGTTGATATTCTCTAACAAAAAGAATCCAGATGTCTTGAATAGTTAAATCATGAGTTTTGGAAATCCCAAAGCATTAAAAAACAATTGAACCATAATGCAAGCCCTTCCACGATTAAAATTTTATGTGTTATCTATTTTTCATGGATTGCAAAGTTTAAGGGTGATTGCAAATCCCATTAGATGAACCTTTATAGATAACCCAAATAAGCCCTTTATAATATGCCGCTTACCTTCAAACCTGCAACTGCATTCTGGCGTTCCCTAATCAACACCACATGGTACAGAGGCCTTGCAAGCCAGCTTTTAAGCAATCTTTTCCCAAATGCAGTAACACAGTGATTTAGTTGTGCATATAGTGTCCTACATAGGCAAGAAAAAACACATGAGAATATCAGCTCAGAACCCTAAAGGTGGAATACTAAATCAAATTATGCCAAAATTACCCTGAAGATCCTCCATTTTTGTTGTTCTCAAATATCTCTAGGTTCACAAGGGCAGCTGCATCAAGTACCATATATGATTTTTGTGGGATATCATGAAACCCTGAGCAGGGAAGCAACTCAAATTTAGCAAATCTGAGCAAAGTCTCATCCAGAAGAGCCTGCCTTAAATAGAAAAGACACCCTCCAAAAGCAGAAAGGGCACAGCTTCCATTGTCTCCCATACTCACTAGCTCAGATAAAACATCTGGTAGGCACCCTGAACCATCACTCCCAACACTAAAAGCAGAATTACCCAAGCTAGCTTCATTCACAGATCCAGACACACTTTGATTCAGATGCTTGTAAATTCTCCTAACTTCATTAATGGTTTTCTCTGCATCCCAGAATTCCAAAACTGGAACCAAATCGTTGATCAAAGGACTTCTTGTATGTGTCAGTAATACTTTTTCAGTTTCAGGACTCAGCACATGAGCAGGTTTTATGATTTCTACAGGTCTTAACTCAGAGAGTAGGGAACATAAGGAATTGCGTTCCATATCATCTCCAAACTGGTAAGAAAAGGATAATCAACCAAATGCAAAGTCAGAAATGTGTATGTGCATATGACTCACTTTTGTTCTACCTTACAGGCAAAGTTTGGCATTGTAATTAGGCACTGTTTTTAACTAAAGAAACTGCTTATTGTTCAACAAAATCTTAATCATGTGATAAGATCAGGTTGAGTATCAACAGTTTCCTAATCAACTAAGTGAGCACTAGACAGTTGTAGTCTCAAACAGTGCAGTATCGGATTAAACATTTGAGAAGGTTAAACAAATACGGAATTAGTACAGATCATAAACATCAAATCTTCTCACATGGTACACATGCAAGAACCTGGATACAAATCAAATAGTTCCAAATAACCAGAAAAGCCTGTTCTTGCAGTAAAATCCTAGGAAGAAAAGGCCCTTAAATCATGGTTTAGGATCATTCCATCAGTTATAAACATTTATTTGGGAACATTAAGGCTATGTTTGTTTTGAAGGAAAAAGTAGGGAAGAGTAGAGAATCCTATACAAGGTTTGTATAAGTTTCCTTACATTTTCCTTCAAATCAAACACAGCATAAGCTTTTTCTCTCTTTTTTTTTTGAGTAGTATATGTCGTTACATTTACTAAAGGGGGAAAAACAGTGAGAAGCAAGGATCTGAATTTCTACCTGTCCAAGCATAAACCTGCTTGTAGAAACGTCGACCACACATACACCAATAACCACATCCTCTTTTTGTTTCCCTGAAATCTGACAGCCTTCACTCACTGCCATCAGGTAAGAAGCATCGGGATTGACTGACATCATTTCACCCTCAGTCAGTGTTCCTTTTGTGACCACAGCACATATTTCACGTTTCACAACCTTGGAAGATATGAGAGCACATCAGTTGCTGTTTCTTTGTTCTTGCATTCTATAGCATGAAATTATAGCCATCAAGTTAAGTGCCAAATTTTGCAAAAAGAATTTTAGATGCAATGAAGAGTAAGCACGACTTATGTGATATTTAACAACAAACTATGGCACCAAATCATATATATTATGCTCATAAATTAACAAGAGATGTAGCACTGAACAGAATGGAATGGCAAAACAGGACTCATATCTGATTCCACAAGGCATAGTTGAGTTGAGTTATTGATACAGAATCCAGACCAATCAATGGACACACATGCAAATCCCATGGGCCAAAAACCAAGCCCTGATCATCTGATATAGTGAACTCTTTGGGATAGAAGATCTACTGTTTCCTATCAGTTGTGGCAGATGAGTATGGAGAAAGTAATATTTCAGCATTCCCTTGCCACAAATATAAGAAACCATTGTTACTAATTTTGGATCTCATAAATAATAAACTAACCTTATCTTTACAGCCTTTCTCTTTGCGACGAAGCTCAAGCTGCTCAGGTGTTTCTGTTTGTTCCACAACAAGAACTCGGTAACCCTGTTCTTCCAAAATAGTAAAAGTAAGGCCCCTCCCTAAAAAATACAATGTACCCCATATGGGCTATTCACATAAACATAGACTTATCTCCAATAAACTTCAGTTATAATGTGTAAAGCACAAAAACAAACTTTAAAAAAGTATCATAAATGGAAATATCTATCATGGAAAATGCATCAATAGAGTGCTTGACACTTGATTTCTTTGGGATGTTTGGCATTATGTGCATATTCATTATTTTACCGCATTAATAAAATTCTCAGTCACCAATTAAATAATAATAATAACAACAACAACAACAATAATAATAATAATAATCAAAAGATCTATCATACACAACCTTTCTAGCCAATTTCTCTACATTGAGTGAGAAGTTCTTTTCCGGGAATCCACAATGAGGTTGCTCTCCCTGCAAACATGTGCAGATCATCAAAAAAGAGTTTATGACATATAATTAGAAAATTAAGATGAATGCATACACAACAGAAAATTAAGCATGTACAAAATGTTAATATAGCTGCATTTAATTTTCAGAATATAAATCCCAAATGGTAGCTATTCTTTTTCTCAAGACCCTAAATATCTTGTAAAATTGTAGCAAAGATGTAAGAAGTCATAAACAATGGTGTAAAAAGACCAATAATATGCAATGAATCAGGAAGCTAGTGACTAAAAAAAGTTGCTCAAGTCACGCATACCTTCATGTATTGCAAATCAAGTTCTTTTGCTCCTATATGTGCATCCATTTCAAACAGTTCATAAAACTTGCCCATCTGCCCCAAAATGGATAAATCATTTATCAATTGGTTCTTTGTAAAGACATGGATAACTTGGATGAAAATGCCATATCTCAAATAATTCTTTACCAGTTACAGCTGTACCTTGAAAAATAGAACCTTGTCCATATGCTTTGATTTAAACTCCCACCATTGTCTCTACAAATTGAACAAAATCAGCTAACAACAAAAGCACAGAGAAGAAACAATAAGACCATGAACTATTCTTTTAAGACAGATTACCTGGCCGCCTGATAAGCTCTTTAAAAAGTCACTAGGCAAATAAAGAGTTTTAGGATCATAATTTGCATCTCCAGGACGTCTCCTTTCAGAGTCTCTGCGTCCCCTGCAATTATTGACAAAAAATGAGCAAATAACATCAAAAATGAAATTAGGGTAAACATAAACAAATGAATCCTCTATACAGTCATTTAGGATGCCTGAATTGAACACAAGATGCCTCTTCAATATTAGAAGCACATGTAAAGCTAAGCACAACATAAATTGAAGACAAGATGAAGTAGAATTGAGAGGTTAACCACCCAAAAGTAATGATATATGAAGCGAAGATTAAAGGAAATTAATCCTATAAATACTTACTCCCCAAGAAAGCGTAACTTTTCTGCATCACGCAAGGCAAATCGCTCTGCAGAATCACCTGTTAAGGTGTTGCCAGTAATATGAGATACATATCTCCCTGCAAAAATGGAAAATATTCCACAGTAAACAGCCAACCATAATAACCAAAACATTCCCCAGATAGCTGGGACCAACAGTGGATAATGGCCTAATATTTTTTGCTGGTATTTTATGTGAACACATGTGAGGTAGCCCATGTGCTACACTTTCACATTAATAAACAACAGAAATACTACTATGCATAGGGTAGATGGCCTAATCAATAAATAAATAAATAAACCAGATCTATGGGTACCATCTAGATGAGTTTGTTGTACAAATAGCAGCCAGAACAAAAATCTGTAACCATCCAAGGGTGCAGAGAGAAAGACCAACGCAGGGTAGATGATTTCATCCAATCAAATTTATTTGATTGGAGAGTTCCCTGGTTTTATGCTTAATGAAAATAGAATGAAGGCATTGGTCTAACAGATACCAGTTAATACTGCAATTATAGTAAAAACTGGTCCATCTGAGCACTCATGTTTCTACACTCCCTGTCATCCCATTATATTCATTGACATAGCATTCCTTTTAAATAAGGCAAGAAAACAAGATAAAAACTCATAAAAAATAAATAAATGGAAACAACCATTTCTGCTTAAACAACGTAATCTTAGAATATTCAACTAAAGAGATATTCAAAGCTCCAAAAGCATACAGATAAACCCTTCGGTGCTCCAATAAGCATAAGGAACTACTCTCTTTGATTTCATTCTCATATACGTCAATGCATTTCCCTAATCTGGATGTACAATGAAAAATCGTTTCACTTACTATTAGCATCACTTGCGGCCTCTACTAGCCTGCTTCCACTGTCCAACGTAACCTTCGTCACATTCAACACACCCTTCTCAACATTCCCAACACTCTTGATCTTCTTACCAGAGCCTACCTTATCCCATTCGAAATTTTTTCTCTTTCCGGAAGCCATATTTTTTCCACTAGATTTTTTAGTGTCTTTAACTTCCTCATTGACCTCCTCTTCCTCTAAATCCATCTCTTCTGAATCATCTTCAATAATCTCCTTGCCTAAATTTTGCCCCCAGTCTTCATCTGTGGAATCATCCCCATCACTTGCATCTTCTGCATTCTCCTCCTCGTCTGGAACTACATTTTCACAAGCGGAACTCAGACGCAGCCGACGAAAACTTCTGACCTCCCCCTTCGTCCACTCAACCTTCTCAACCCCGAGATCCAAAACTTCCTCCTCAGCATCATCATACTGTACCAAATGCTTACCAGTTTTTTTATTAAATGATTTGACACAACCTTCGTACCAGCTTTTGTCCAACGGCCAATAAACCCTAAGTCTCTTCCCTACAACCTCTTCTCCATAGAGTTTCTTCCCCGAAACGGGCGTTGTTACAGCTTCAGAAAGAGGTGTTAGAGGAGAACGACTGGGAGATGAACCAACTACTAGAGGGGGCTTTCTTTGTTTCGTCTCCGAAGGAGACGGAGTTGGAGCAGGGCTAGGGCTGGTACTAGGGTTAGGTTTGGGGTTTTGTTTCGGAACAACCGGAGAAACAGAAGAAGGGGAAGTTGAGGACTTCCCGGGGGAGAAGAAGGACGTGATTTGGCGTTGTTGGCTGACCAATGGAGAACGTCCATTGCTGAGGCGACGAGAAGGAGCCATTAGAAATCGCAGAGGAGAAGGAGAGAGAATTCGAAGGTCCGAGGTTTATATACCGAGTAAGGACTGAATGATGGCGGGAACTAACGAGGGAAAATCCCGGGAACTGTTTCCGTTGCAGCAGTTTGGCGGGAACCTGGGAGCGTATGCACAGTGCGCACCCCAACCTTTTTCTGACAGAAAATGCACTGAAGGCCGAAGCAAACAAAATATGGTAATGGCGGCTGACGACATCACGACAATAGAGAACGAGTTCATTTTCAACGATTTGAATGAGTCGAAGCGGAATAAAGACCGATCCGATTCAGTTTCTGACGAGTTAGAATAAAGACCGTTCGCATCTCCGCCCCACCGCCTTGTCACGGGTTAGATCTGCAACGGAAGGAACCCGTGCGGCGTCCGGGCCAATGTAGGACAGGACAAGCCTTGTGTGTGATGCAATGTTAGGAGTTGCTCAATGAGATGGGTTCACCAAGGTTAGTAGCACCTCAAGTCGCATGGTCGGGGCTCTCTGTTGGCTCTTGTCGGTCCATTGAAGGCGCCGCTTATGTGCTAAAAGGGGATGGCCATGATGAAAGGCGACTGGGCGCCGATGTGAAGGGTCTCCTGTATGCCAATGATGAAGGGCACCTGTGTGTCATGTTGATAGGCAACCGCTAGGCCAAAACACACCCGTGTTTTATGAGCAACGAGGTAGCTCGATCAGCTCAGACACGGGGCTGGCGAGAGGTGTGGGGACATGCATAGGCCAGACCTACGTGCAAAGCCTCCCCACCATAGTGGTGGCGCAGTGTCGGTCCATGCACTGTCCCCATAGGCATGTATGCACCCATGAGAAACCCTGGTAACCATGCTAGCCATTAACCAGAGCCGCTCCGCAAGGGAAGTTGGTCTAAGAGTGCAAAGGTCAGGCACCCAATGAGGTCGACCACCCCTCCTCAAATAGTATGTTAAGCTTTTAGAGTTTGCCTAAAGATGACATCAATTCTCCCAAAAATCTTACTGACGAAAATGACGGTGATGTCCCTTAACGTAAGCCTGCCAAGCGTAGGCAAGGCTAAGCCTGTGTGAGACCGTGACAGCTTGTCGCCCCACACAACATGTGACTGCATGTCAAATCGCACACGATGGGGCATACTCGCGTGCGAGGCTAATGCGACAGCCGTTAATTTGTCCCATTAGCCCCAAAATGAGCTTAAACTTCATTTCTCTCATACAACGTTTTAAAAAATGACTGGAAACGAAACTGTTTTAGTCATCGGTTTTCGGGTTGATGGTCTGACCGTCCGATTCAAACAAATGGCCTGCTCTGACAAATAAATTAATAAAAATTAAAAAATGTTGAACGGGTCGGCGGTTTGATCGCCCAAGACAACGGGTTGTTGACTTTTTCAATGGTTTTTGGCCAATTACCGGGTTTGGAGTAAAATGGAACCCATTGCCTGGATTGTTTCCAGGGCAAATGGTCTGACCGTTCAAGTCAACGGCGGTTCGAAAACCTTTCTCCCATATTCCCACTCCCTCAGCCTCAAATTGTGTCTGACCTCGTTCTACTCTTCTCCGCTCGAGTTCGGATCCAATTCCATCTCTGGCACCGGCGATCACTCAGGCCAGTTCACTGACACCAAGTATGCTCCAACCCTCGTATTTTGTTTTGATATTTGATTTTTTTCACTTCAAATCATATAAACCCTTGTTTTATATTTTGTTTTTCATTTCAAACTAGATAAACCTTTTATCCTCTCTTTCTAACTCCCTCTTCAGTACCGGCAATCGATTTAGCTAGTTCACCATCAACAAGTACTCTCCAAACCAGAGAAACAAGGCACTCCCCTTGTCTGAAATGAAGAAACAAAATACGAGGGTTGGAGAGTACTTGGTGACGATGAACTAGCCAGAGTGATTACTAGTGCCAAAGAGGGAGTTGGGAGAGGGGAAAAAAGTTTATATGGTTTGAAATGAAAAATAAAATATCAAATAAGGGTTTCTCTAATTTGAAATGAAAAACCAAATATCAAAATAAAATACGAGGGTTGGAGCGTACCTGGTAACGGTGAACTGGCCAGAGCGATCACCATTGCCATAAATGGAGTTGGATTTGAGCTCAGGCGGAGGGGAGTAGAACGGGGGTCAGACACGATTTGAGTCAAGGTTTTCAAACTACCGTTGATCCAAACGATCAGACCGTTCGGCCTGGGAACCATTCAAGCAACTAGTTATGTTGACCCAAACAGTTGAATTGTCAACCCGTTCAATGATTTTGATAGTTTCTTATTTTATATTTTTTTAATTTATTTGTCAAAATGACCCGTCCATTCGAACTGGACTATCGGACCATCAACCCAAAAATTGTGGCCAAAACGATTATGTTTGTGATCATTTTTTTTAATGTTGATTTGAGGTTGAGAGGCAGAAATATGGGAAAAATAGGTTTGGGCTCATTTTAAGGTTAACGGAATGAGCAAACGATTGCCCCACTGTCATGGGGGCAATCGTTGGGGCCCCGTGCGGCACTCGAAATGTGTGAATAAGCCTACGAAACAAAGCAAACGCACACACAAAGGCAACAATATGGCACACGAATTAGCAAAAGGCTATTTGTATTGCATTAATCAGTGGTAAGCACAAGCACACAGTACAGTGTCGAGGGATCTCGTGCTTAACCTTTACACGCTTATGAGCTCACTCGACTACCTACCTCCCCTCAAAGAGTACGTTAAGATTTTGGGGGAGTGACAATAGGAAACATCAAAATGATGGAAGAACATACTAAGTAATTACAATAACGCCATTGGTGGTCCTCGTTACAAAATACAAGCAAAGCCCACCCGTGACACACATGTTGACACCATGAAAGCACGCGGTTGGCACTCTGATGGCTCACTGTAGGTGCTTGATGGCGCGGCGAAGGAGTCACCTGTGACATTCTCCCCCACTCAATTCGATCTACGTCCTCGGAGATCGGCTTCGGTTGGTCCCTTAGAGTCACTGTTGCGGAAGGAGGGTTCTTCCGCTGCTCCCCGAACCGGCTGTCGTCCAAGGCCGAGGTGTATATTTTGGTGGCATGGTTGGGTTGGCTCATTCTGTTGGGGTTTCCTATGGCTAAGTCCTTTCCTAGCAGCTTCAAGGTATGTTAGTGCCTGGTTTTGTTTGGCTAAGGGGTAGGTTTGGGCCAAGTAAGGATCAAAATGGTGTTTTGGATTATTAAGGTGTGGATTCCCATGCATTTTTCCCCAAGGGTAACTCACAGGGCTACTACGGGAACTAGCCTTAGGGATGATGTGAATGTGGTCCCTAGATGGCTTGGGTGGCAGTCGCTCTCCCCGATGGTTGTGGTAGTAGATGTGGGCAAAGTTTGACACGGCCTTGGGTCTTCTTCTATTGGGCCCACCAATTGCGGGCACTTGCGGCTTCTGCTGCGAAGTCGATTTCTACTGATGTGGTTGGTGTTGAAGCTGATGCTACTGCTGGTGTTGACTTGGGCGCTGGCATTGGTGTTGGCGCTGGAAAATGGAACTGTCTTGGGGGTGACTTCTTCCTGGTGACGACTTCCCAACTAGTTCCAGTGTCGATGTGAGGTACTTGACAGGGGTTCTTCCTTGTTGACGCAGAGCTGTCTTCATGGTTGATAGTTTCTTGGTACAACTGCAATGTTGAAAGCTGCTTCCCAAGTATCTGCAAGGTTGATGAGACAGGAAACATGCAAGGGGAGTGTTCGTCCAGAATAAGCAAACTGTTGATGTGTGGCATAAGTGCTGCTTCCGCCTGCTTGAGGAAATCCACTCCAAGAACCACCTGAAAATCATCCAAGGGAACCACAGATAGATTGATGGGTCCTTTCCATGGTCCAATTCGGAGTTCTACTCCACGGGCCGTGCCCTCTACTGCTTTGGCCCCGGAGTTGACGGCCTTAACCCACCCAGTTTATTTGGCGGTGGTCAAACCGAGTCGCTTTGCCTCCGCAAGCGAAATGAAGTTGTGGGTGGCCCCAGTGTCCACCAAGGCTTGGGTCGGCCTCCCGCCGTGGGTGATGTCTACATAACTCAGCCCCTTGTGGGCTTTGGTGGGCCGCTTTGATGTGGCCTCTTTCTTGACCATGGCATTGATGAGTTGGCACTCTGATGGCTCACTGTAGGTGCTTGATGGCGCGATGAAGGAGTCACCTATGACACCACCGCGTGCGACTGAACATGTCACAGTCGCACGTTGTGTGGGGCGGAGATGCGAATTCGATACATACTGAGGCAGGTGTAAGGGGAACTCTATCAATATTACTACGTATCCGAATTCATGTCACGGGGTAAGTTCTCAATGATTGCTAGCCCAAATTTAACTCTAACTCTTTCTTTGTCACCTCTTATATCGTGCAATCGTTCTCTTTTCTCTCTTCACAAATAATCCAATAGGGATGATCATTGCTAGCCCAAGTCATGCCCGTTATCATAAGTGCTTGGCCCGTCCTAGACCACGATCACCCATATAACCTCAATTTCATTTCATGATTCGATCAAGCGGCTTTCTTTCTCAAATAAAGTTCTTTGAATCATCAACTTTGCTTGCAATTTTTTCCTGTTGTTATGAAACTCGAATATCTATCTATATATGGAGTTCACATCTATGCCCCATAACGTCCCACAGCATATTTTTGTCGTGTATTAGGAACATCTTTTAATGATAGTATCAAAATCGATTATATTATTATTGGGAGACGTTTTCAATACATGGCAAGGATATGTGTTGTGGGGCGCCCCCTTATGAGGCGCATATGACTCCTATATATGGTGGATTCGTTCATTCACATTCCAACTTCCAAATAGATACAACAAAGAAGGGAATGATGTTTTTTCGTGGGAGGCAAATGCACCTTCTTAATGGATTTTGGAGAACTGGTAGTTCCATGTTGTTTTCTCATCGTGTCTTTTATTGATGAAGGGAGATTTGGCCCGACCTAGTAATAGGGGGACACGTGGACACGACCTAACTAGTCAGATGACAGCTCAGCCCGATATGTCAAGTCCGCAATAGATCGAGCTCAGATAATCAAACCACCTTGAGACCAGGTCACCTCGGTGTAAGGTCACATAAGGACCACCTCGGTCCCAAGGTACTTCGGCGTTCACCCCAGGTTAGATCTAAAGAGCACTAGCTCGGGTAATACTGACAGACCA